TAGTGCTGTATGTAAATGCAATTAACAATTTTTTTCAAATTTTACAAGTTATTATTTGCTAATTTATTAACGGCTAAATGCCAATTACTACTTAAAACGTAAATAATAGCAGATTGTAATAGAGATATGTTCGTGTAAAAAATTAATATTTAATTAATTGTTAAAATAAAAATTGCAACTCTCCCATGGCGATATAGAGAATCTCTACTTCATATTAAAGAGTATTGAGGAACTTTATTTTTTTTTGTTTAACAGTTTTAACTTAATTATTAATTATTAACTTAATTACATAAAGAAATTTTTTTAAACAGTAGTAAACTACAACAACAAATATTAATTTTTATATTATTTTAATTAATTGCATTTTACCAAGTACCAAGTACCAGGAATCAAACTCGGGTCCTGCCAAATGTGAATTTAAATGATTAAATTTTACTTTTTTTCAATAGTCCATCTTTATCTCCAGAACTGTATGTTGCAACTGATAATTTTGTTCAAATTAAAATAACTATTTAACGTCAGAGACTATCTGATGTGGTTAGACCATTATTTGAATCTGTCAAATTGTTAATGAATAGATTTTGAATGTATAACGTAACGAAGTCTTTTAATGATGCATTTAGGTGTTGTTTTGATTAAAATAGACCGAATGCATCTTTCCAAATAACTCTTATCTAATATATTTATAGTTATTTAAAAACTATAACTATACTTTTATTTTTGAAATCATGTTGTGATGCAGTTAAAACCAGGGCTTCGAACTGGAACCAAACCATACCGAAAACCGAAAAACCGAACCGATATATATTTTTTTGTTTTGAACCGGGTTTCGAGCCAGAACTGGAACGAAAACCCTGGTTAGAACAAATATCTGATTTTACTGTCTCTGTTTGGAGGAGAAAATTTGACTTACACTACACCGTACTGTATTCGGTCTTTGAACTTTGTAACCATTTAACATCATGATGTAGTATATTTGTGTATATACATAACGAATTTATAACATTATTACCTTCTATTAAAAGGTAAAATTAAATGCAATATAGCAATCATTTTTTAACTTAAAAATCAAAATATAAAAATGATTCTAGCTATGGAATGTAATTTATTGAAAATTATTTCTGCTGTCATATATCAACACCAGATACTTTTTATGAAAACAAATTAATTTCTTTTTTTATTTAATATTTAAAATCTTTAGCAGAAGCCTTTAATAAAATTAGTTCCATAAATTTTATTTATGTTTTTAAATTGTTCGTTCTACTTGAGATGAGAGTATGCTGCTAACACATTTCTAGCCGTCCAAGCACTTCACCTACCTATACATTTAAGACTCTTCCATTCAGTGTGGCTCTCTGTACTGCTACAGTTGCATTAGCACAAAGTATCGTAGAACATATAGTAAAAAATTTATGCGTGGGTAGTTTTTATTTTTTGTAATAAATTTTTGTTTTATCTACATTGCAACATTTCTGTTTTGTTCGACTTTTCAAGAATCTGATTGTTGTAAAGATTTTGCACCTACTTTCTTCCTACTGCCTAAAGAATCTTGTATTCCAGTATTTATGCAGTTTTTAACCAGTCTGCGGACATGTGCTGGTCTCATGTTTGTTTGCTTTATTTTTATGTTATTATTATTTTTTATATTGATTTAAATTTTTAATCATTTATAACTCGTGTGATATTTTTGGCAAATTTTATTAGCTTGGCATGTCGCTCGACTGGAATTAATTTTGCTCAGCTGTTTTGTACGCATTATATTGTTGTTAGCTACATATTTTTAATGGCGAATCATTAACTTAATATAAATATACATAAATAAAATTAAATATAAACATTCATTCGCTTTTTATCTTATCAATTGTATACAACCAACATATATATAATAGGTTTTTTACTTGGCTCTTCTAGCCCCCGTTGAACGTGTAGAGTATAGAGTAAAGCAATGGTACCTTGTTTGTTGTATGTTCCCCGGGTATGAATCAATAGGAAGTTCTGTACAAAATTGTATGATAAAGAACGAATTGAAGAAGCAATAATGCAATGATTTAAAATTAATTTTACTTTCAGTTCATAACTGCAAAAGTTATAGACTTTGTTCACTTTAATTTATTTTGAAATTTTGGTTGTTTTAGCTATAAAGCTTCTATCACATTCTCGAGAGCTCCAAATGTGTCGCTTGTATTGATAATCAACGCTGTTTATACGAGTAGAAGTGAGATTATCTATATGTGACTTAGTGACACGACATGAGTTTGTAATGCTGGCCGTGAAAGCGATCGAAATTATGAAGTACTGTCTGACACACCCCTTAAGAGTGGCTTATCAGTTCAAAGAAGTGTTCTATAAAGAATATTAATATAAGTCATTAAAGAAAATGACTTTGTTTTCGGTAAATACAAGTATTTACCTAATTCTTTTGTTGTGTCTGTTGTGTCTATTGTGTATGTATAGGCGATAGTTAAAAAATATTCTAATACTTATATAAAATAAATAAAGAACTGTGTTTGTTCTTGCTTGAGATGTTCTAATTGTTTTCAATTATAAATAATAAAAATTTTCGGAATATAAAAAGAAAAATAAATTCTAACCTTCAGTTGAGAGGCATAAACTTTATACATAAATATTTTAAATAGAACTTTTCAATAAAATTTGAAATACACATCTATTAAATCCGATTATTAAGTAAAATTTGAATAGTAGTAGTGGTAGTAATAGTAGTATATTGATTGAAAAGGGTTAAATGTTCTAAGCCAAAAGCAATTAAATAAAATAAAGTTTTTATTTTTTACAAAATTTTTTTAAGAAATAATTTCTTAATTCTTTTGGTGTTTTTTTGTTTATTATTGCAGTTAATTGACAATTTTTTGTTTTATTTTCTTTCGTTTTTTCTTAGTGCTGTTGGCTGGTAGTTTGAAGTTTAATTTACTTTCTTTGCTTTTGAGTGCTGTTAACTGGTTTATCTAGTTCTATTTTTTGCTTATTTTAGTTAGGAAGATTTCAATTTGTAATTTTAAATTTTATTTCAATGAAATACAAATTTTTCTATAATTAAGTTAAGTTTATAAATAGGACATTTACGATGTTCCACTTAATAACTTTATTTAATGAAATTAGTAGAGATTTATTTCCATGGTATCATAAAGGGTTATTATTTGTACTTAAGTGGGCTTTGTTTTTTTCAATTTTTTCCTTCTTAAGATGTTTTTCATTGAAGTGCACACAAATTTATCAGCAGTAAAACGCCTTAAAATGCTATATTAAGTGTAATTCTTATTACATTTGTAAAATTTCATTAAATTTTTATATAAATCTGTACACATATTTATATATGTATATGTATTATCTACTATATAAGATGTAATTAATACCATATGAAGTAGTAGATTTTTTCGTACGTACGTATTTAATAATATTAGTTGGCTTTTATGGAAAAAATGACTAATTTATTTAGAAAAACCTAACGAAGTATTTTTATTCTACCTAATAAATCTGTTGACAATTACATTTTCTATTACAAAAAGAAAAACAAATAATTATTTTATTCGTGTAAAAAACTTTTAAGTAAATAATAATATTAACCGCATTAATTATATCAAGAAATAGATGTGTTTGACATAGATGATTTGTGACATCATTAATTATACAAATTAATAACCTATTATTAAAATAATAAAATAATAAATAGAAAAATTCAACTCATTAACATTTTATTAAATAATTTTTATTAAGGAAAATGCTATTTTACACTTAGTATTATTAAATTATAAGTTAAGAATACTTAGCAACGTAACGTTTCTGCGAAAGAACTGAACATTTTGGAGAGTTTTAAACAATTATTTAACAGGTACCACAAAAAATTACAAATTTACAAATTTATGTAGTAAATTAAAAAATAACTTGAAATTCTATTGAAATATTACCGATTAAAGAACGCATACCGATTTATATCGCTTTTTGCGATATAAATAAAAATAAAAAATGCAAAAAAACTGGTATTTTTTTTTTTTAAGAAAAAGGTAAAGCAACAATTCATTGCTGTTTGATGTATGTCAAAACAGCTACAAAACACACACAAAACGAATGCATAAATAAAAACGTAGCAAAGTGCATTTAAATGCAACCAAGCGCGCAAATATTTCATTTTGCCGGCAAAATGCACACAACAGAATCAAAAATGCAAAGAAAAAACAAAATGAAATAACATTAAATAAAAAAAGAACTAAATAACCCATTTAAAAATCTGTGTCTGCTGGTAAGAGTTGCGAAAATGCAATTTTCAGCTCTTGAGTGCATTTTCTGAAGCTCATTTGTTTCTCTTCACAACGCCGCTGTTGTTGTTTAGTGCACTTTATGCAATTCCGCTCGTTACTTTGCTTTTGTTTTTGTACAACTCGACAAAAAACAAATTTTGCTTTTTTTGTTTTTGCAAAACATATTTTGGTTTTTTGAATAATACTAATCACGTGCTTTCTGTGATGCAATCAAATTCATTGGTAAATACAATACAATAGTATTAAAGGAGTAAAATAAAGGTTTAAATAAATCACAAACTGTTACAAATTCCTTAGCCTCTTCAGCCTCCACTCCTCCAAAAATAGTATATTTGTTAATATTTTTATTTTAAAATTTCGGCAAAATATATTAGAAGTTCTTCGCTTCGTGAGTGAAATGCTAATAAAAATTAGAAGAAAAAAAAATACATTAAATAATGAATTTTGTTAAAAACAAAATCGTACGATTATGCGCGTTTTTATGCTAATTTTGCAGTAATTTGGAGAATAACAATGAGATATATTCACTTGCACAATACGAAGCAAGCAAAAAGAAACTCGAAGAAATCAGTAATAAGAACAACAATAGTAACAAAAACAATAAAAATAACAATTGTAAAGACGAAATTCAAAATACAATTGAAACAACATCAACATCAACAGCAACTGCAACAGCAACAACAACAACTACAACTTCAACAGCAGCAACAACTGAATCAACAACAAATGCAACAATTATTACAAAACAGGAGCTGGAACAAACGACGATAAGTTCTAAAAATCAAAATCAAAATCAAATTCATACTCAAATCAATGCTAATAACTGCAACAATCAAGAAAATAATCTAATAACCATAAGTAAAACTAAAATTGAAAATAATTCTATAAATCCACCACAAACAAAACCACAACAACAACAACAACGCCAACAACAATCGCAAACTCAAAACAAAACACCTCAATCATTGATTTTATCGTCAGTATCACCAACATTGACTTCTTCAATTAATTGCATCAATGAACCCATTCAAGTAAACAATATTAAATCGGAAAATATACCAATTCTCAATACAACACCACAACAGCTGCCAACATCATTAATCGATAATAAACATATAATCTTGCGCGATCAATCGATAAATGCATTAAATCGTAATCTTGACGTAAATTCGCTATTAATCGTTAATAAATCTTATAAGAAAGAAGAAAAACGTCCTAAGTCCGTTACGGCTTCGGTATTTAAGGCTGCGCCTATTACAAATTCAACATTTAATCATAAACCAGTGAATAAACAGTTGCAACACCAGCAACACCAGCAACAACAACATCAGCAATTTGTTGCTAAAATAAATCCCAAAGTGCAAGCAGCAACACCAACAATACAACAGAAACACCAAATACAAGATATGAATAAAGGATTTTTATCGTTTGCTGAGGATGCCACTGAGTTAACAAGTAAGTACTATATTCTATATTGTTTTAAAATAAATTTTTCTTATTTATACTATTATATATGCGTAAATGGTGTTAAAATTATATTTACATATTCTTTAATCACTTACTTGCTTTTCAAAAACCAATACGGTTAAGAACGTCTGATAATAATATAAGCCTCTTGGCAAATAATGGTTAGGGACAGTTGGACTGGACTATAGTAAATATCTCAACATACGTTTAGTCCTTTAAAACAATACCAAGATATCGTTGAGAGCTTCCTAATAGCAGATCGCTAATATTCGTATTAAGGCATAGGCCTAGTTTTCTTCTTTAGTCACAATGTATGTAACTAGAAATCTCATTTCTTCTTCGGAAGAAGCGACTTTCTCTAGAACATGTCCTGTTGAGATGATAACACAGATCAAGGCTATTAACTCATGTTAAGTACATTTTTTTTTAATTGATAATAGAATAGATATAAAATGTATGTATGTTTTAAAAATTAACTAATTCATTTTAATAATATAAGCATTTTGTAAAAATTTCTTGTTAGGTTTAGAGATTGGTGTAGGGTGTTCTGATATAAAAATCCAATAGTTATTAAGTTTAAAATATAGGAATATATCGTTCATGTAAAATTAAATTTTCCACTGGTATAAACTTTTTTTTTCAAGTTGGGGATATGCATTTTATGTTTATATTTAAATGATTATGAATTATGAATATAACTCAAACACCATAGTTTGTGGTTCGTCTTTATTTATTGTCTGATAAAAAATAATTATTAGAATTAATTATAAAAATAAGTATATAATCGATGTGTTCCTATTTTCCTATTTTATAATTAAACGATTATAAAATTTCTTAATCGAATGTTAAATTAATAAGTTTGAACATATTTATTTAATAACTTAAAGCTTAAATTTATATTTTACTTTACAATTAATTTTTAAAATCGCTTTTATCGATAATCATATAGTTATCGATCATCTATATAGCTACATATACAGTTATCAAACAATATAGATAATTATATATGATCAAAGATACGTTTCATTAATCGATCAATCTAATATTTGTTTTGCATTTAATTTAATTTATGTTAATTAACAGAAATGTTATTGTCTTTTTATATTTCCACTTCTGTAAAAACAGAACGAATATGCATATTTTGCATATGTACTGTTATTTTATGAAATGTAATCTTAAAGTGCATTAGCCGTAAGGTGCATACCCATCAAGGCCAAATTTTTATTGTTATTCATATATGTAAATATATATTAAACAATTGCTAATGCACAAACTCTTACATATTTACATGTATACGGGTGTATATATATAGAAAAATATAAGCGGAATAAATATGACGCGCGTAAATCGCTTGTTGAATTGTATCTGTAAATATGTTAGAGAGTCCATTTATCTGTCTGTCCGTGTCACTACCTGTCGGCCCATTTGTTTGTTCGCTTAAACGCCTGTTGTCTGTTGTGCATGTATTAGTGTATCTATCTCCATGCACAAGTGTTTGTTTACTTCCAGCATATGAAGTAGCTGATATAAGTTGTTGTGCTATATTGACTTGAACCTTATCTTTACTAAAGCTAAACAAGCTTAATTTGCGCAAATAAGCATTAAAAAAATGTTTAGGAATTTTTTTAGCTGCATACGTAAATTACAATATTTTTGCAAGGTACAATTTATTTGCTTAAATTTCAATTAAGCACTGTTGCTATTCACTCACAACCAACCTATTCGCAAGATTTACGTATGTAGGTATATATTTAATGTAATATTTTACTGATGATGAACAATTTAGAAATGCATTTGATTGTTCCTATTTACATTATTATGTAAAGCTGAGGCAGGCTGAGTTTTAATGACTGTTTTTTTAATTTTTCTTTAACTACAAACGTACGTTATTTTGTTTTTCTCTTCAAGCGTGAAAAAAACACTAAAGTACGTAATATAATTCCATTTATTTTGAAATTGGAGTGATATTTATAGCATTGGAAAATCACAAATATATATTGGATGATTATATTAGAATTATATAGCAGTAGCAACAACCACACTCTACTCCATCCCAGTTATGATTAATTACACACACCCATTTCTATCTTTGCCGAATAATGTTTTGATATTACTGCTGTGTAACTTGTTGAGTTTATTATGATAATTCATACAAGTACATTAAGCTTGTACCTGTCATATCTTTTATATTTGCGTATATTGCATGTAAAATAAAAAAATCAGGTTATTGTGCCATATTCGCTGTTTTATCTCTCATTTGTATTTCTATGTGCAGTCCACGCACACTCACTTGTATATGTATAGATATATGTATAACGTGCTTATCGATAACATTTTGGCATGTAATCATAAATGGCAATCGGTTGTTAACCCATGTACCACAAAGTCGTAACGTTTTGCAACATTAAAAAGACGAAAAGACAACGAAGACAACGCACCAACAATATTTCTCTTTAAAATTCTTATCAATGATTTCTGCTTGTAAATTTATGCGTAAACATATTTTCAGATTTATTTGCCATGAAATCATATTAAATAAAAAATATTTTTAATCTTTTTAGCAATTATGCGTGCCGAGTTTACGAGCAAATTCATTTTTTCGTCTTATTTCAAACATAAATCGTAATCGTAATCGCGTTATTTTCAATGATCACTAGATTTTGCCCTTTAATAATAATCATTTCATAATCATATAATGGTATTGTTGATAATGAGAATAATAATAATGATTCTCATATTTTTAATAACATATCTACAAGCACTTTATTATCAAATTATTTATTGACATAAAGTGTTATCGTTATCATTATCGTTATCGTTACAATTATCGATGAATACTGACCACTCTTTCAATGCATTTCAAGTGTAGAAATATTAAGTAAGAATGAATTACTTAAGTTGCACGTTTTTGTGTTGATAAAACAAACATGCATTCTAATTGTTTAATATTATGATAAGGAAAAATAAATAATTAATTAAAAGGAATTATAAATATCATAATGGTTAATTATCTTAAGAATGAAAGGAATTCATTTTTAACGAGTCTTACTATATACATATATGTATATACTAAAGTTATTGGAATAAATTTTGAAGTAAAATGTAATTAGTTTTGTGTGTTCTGTTAAAAACATTATTTAAAAAGATAGTTACCATACACACATATATATATATATATATATATGTATGTGTGCTGTCTTTAGATTATGATGAAAAGTAATCTTAAATAGAAAAGCTTTAAAACTTTCAATATTTAAAAATATTTACATAGATGTTTCATATACTTTTCAATTTATTTTGCTTTGTTAGTGTCGTTGACTGGTAGTGTTTTTTTTTTTAATTGTAAGAGTAATTATTTCCCTATATTATCACCTTAATTATTGTATTTAATGTAATAACTTATCACCAACAGTTACAAATAAAAAACTTAAGATATGTTTCCGCAGAAGCGTAAAAAGTTAAGCGTTGTATTATGTCTTTAAAAGAGGTTAATAATAAAATATTATTTACATTTTATATTTCAGTATCAATATTTTTCTATATTTAAAAAACATATCTATATAAACAAATAATTATTCTGTTACTTCAAATTTCCAAAATTTAATTATTTTTATTGCAAAAGCGTGAATACCTTGAGAATTTACGGATATATAAAACTATATATGTTTTAAAGATTCGTATATTAGAACGTAGATAAGAATATGTGACATTATTTTATTTGATTGTATATTTTACCCCTATTTAGGTAAAATTCAATTCAAACAGATATTGTTTACATTAACTACCCTTTTATACAACATCATTTCATACTTCTCTATAACATAGATTTGTATCTTAAAAATATTAGGATTAGGGGAGAAAATAAAACTTAAAAATAATAATAGAAAAGTTTGGCGCTTGAAAACAAGTCAAAATAAAAACTACCAAAACTAGTTTGATTTGCATAATTTTAATGTATTCCAAAAAATATCTCAAAAACAACTTATCAAAGCTTTATTTTATGTAGTTAACCTAATTTAAATTAAAATTTTAAATATTTTTTAAATAGTTAAAACTATTCAAAATCAGTAAAAGAATATTGTTAATGTCTAATTAATTTAATTGTGAGTTTTGAAAACAATTTCAAGTACTATATACTGAAGTACTATAGAACAACTGATTCTACATACATTTTTTTGCTAACTTGTATTTTTGTCATTCAAACGTTTTTATAAATAATTGAGATAATCAGTGCTTTGAGATACCAACAATAATGCTTTGATTTAATTTACTATTAATGGTATTACATAAACTCCTCTGTTATTCATAATTGAATTTGGTTAGCTTCAATATAACAAAACAAGCTCCTTTATATGTATCTATATGTAAGTATGTACTTATATATAAAATAATATTAAAGTTCTAAAAACTTTTGAGAGTTACCCTTTCGCTAAATAATAAGTATCATAATGTACAAACGACTATATTCACTTAGCTAAATTTGAAGTCTATTATTTACCACATTTGATTGTTCCTTGGATTTTAGTTGAAAAGTGTAAAAAGGGGCTCGCTTCAGTTTCCTATCAAGCTTCAGTGAACCAGTATTTCTTGTATCTAACATATTATGCTGTCTTGTTTCTAAGCACTGGTATCTTCACTTCTTACAGAATTGAAACGCGAATATGATAATTATTCTTCATTCTCTGTATGTATGTATGTGCTGTGAAGAAAGGGGAGAAATTATACAATTTTGTTCTTTTATTCTTTTGATATAAGAATGTTGTTATTGAATAATAAATATTATAGCTTCTTGCAATTATCTTCTTGTTTTAACAATCAATATAGCTATATTATGTTTTACTATCTAATGATGAGTTAATCAAAAAGATCTAAAAATTAATTGATGAATTAAAAAACTATTGTTTTTTATGTAGCTAAAAAGATTTCAAAAATAAAAATATTGTAAAATTTTTTATTTAATAGTCATAGTCATAGTCAGCACAGCTCGT